TCTTATTTTCTCTGGTAAGAATACGTAATATGTAATCGTCATAAGTGTAAATTCAACTAGAAACAACTTTCCAAATTAGAAGCTTCCTAAATATGCATAAAAATAATAAAAATATATAAAAATCGATCATAGCATTGGACAAATTTTAAAGAAAATTCAATGAAATATAAATATCAGCATTTTTCTATTCTCTTAGATAAGAAATCGTCGCTGTAAATGCAATTAGGAAAAGCTTTCCAAACTACAAGCTTCCCAAAAATGCATAAAAATAATAAAAAATGCAAGATAACTGCAGACAAATTTCGCAGGAATATCGAATTAAATATAAATATCAGCTCTTTCCTATTTTCCCAGATAAGAAATCGGAGTATGTAATTGGAGTCGCTGTAAATCAGATTAAGAATAACCTCTCAAGGTACACGGTTACTATTTTACATTACAAATATTATCTACGGTGATCTTCGATACGCACCGAGTTCTCTCGAGATTATGCAAATAGAGAACACGAAGAGGCGTTATCCTGCAAAGTGTAACTCGACATCGTCGATCTATCCGGATGTGACGCAGCTCGTTTCCACCGAGATGCAGTTGGAATCCATAAAATGCTCGTATGCACTCTCTTCGTCTCTCCATTCACATTTTCCCGGTCTTTTCCGTGGTCCTTTTGTTACGACTTCGAGATTAGAATCGAAAAGTGGCGCGATCGAGGACGCAACAACCGACTCCGTGGATCCAGCCTGTCTGGGAGGATCACGTCAACGTTTCTAATGGGGCTTCGACTGTGGACAGAGAATCACGTAGACTCTGAGCATTCTTATCGTGGAAAATGATAAGCCGACAAACCGCTTTCTTAAACCTTTTAATCGTGTGGAAAGTGACAAGATTTTAGTTTTCAATTTTATCTTTATCTTTCTTCTTAGATAATTTGTCCATTTTGTAAAGCTTAATGAAATTATAAGGATTTCAGAATATTCGAGATTTTTTAAATATTTTAAATTATTGTAAATTATAAGATTCATTTGTTCTTTTTAATAATTTTTATGTCACTGAAAATAATAAACACTGCAGATTTTAGAACAGTTGAGATTTTTATAGTATTTTGGATCATTGAAAATTATAAGATTGATTTTCTTAATAATTGTTTAGATCATTGGAAACAATAAACCACGAGATTTTTAAATATAAAATTCCTTTCTCTATAATTTTTTAGATTATTGGAAATAATGAACACTATAGATTTTAGAATATTTGAAATTTTTATAACATTTCAGTCATTAAAAATGATAAGATTGATTTTTCTAATAATTTTTTGCACCATTAGAAACAATAAACCACGAGATTTTAAAATAAAAAAATTGTTTTTTCTATAATTTTTTAGATTATTAAAAATAATAAAGACTGTAGATTTTAGAATATTTCAGATTTTTATAATATTTTTGTCATTGAAAATAATAAGATCATTTTCTTCAATAATTTTTTAGATCATTGGAAACAATAAACCACGAGATTTTTAAATATAAAATTGCTTTCTCTATAATTTATTAGATTATTGAAAATAATAAACACTACAGATTTCAGAATATTTGATAATTTTATAATATTTTCGTGATTCAAAATAATAATATTCTTTTCTTTAATAATTTTTTATATCATTGGAAATAATAAACAGTAGAGACTTTAAAATAAACCGATATTTTTCCATAATTTTCTAGATCATTGGAAATGTATTAAATTATAATACAAGACGAAAAATAGCAATTCTCAATTATAATTTTACAATACATGATCCTCACACACTATTCAAATTATTTTATGGAAATACTGAAAATCACTTCCGAGACCATAATGTTCGTTTCTCTCAGACTCTTAACAGGACAATACAAAATTACATAACACCGAATAATAACACCAAATAACATTGTTAAACACATAACAACACTGCCAACAAAATACACAATAAATACCAACGAACAATCAACCAATAACACAAAAATAACTCCTTAGAAACTAGTATCACGAAACAACAAACAAAACGAGCAACCATAAACATAGTACCACAAAACGAAGATATAATTAATCTTCCTTATTTATAGCTCAACATTTCATGCTCCCAATGAAACGATATCAGTCAATTTAAAAATCGGTTCATCTTATTCTTTATAGCCAATATCTCCGTCGTTTATAATCGCGAAGGAAGGTAATCGGTGATCTATAGTGTTTCTGCATGGTGCAGCTGCAGACGAGTGCCACATTCGTTCAGATTTTATCTATGTACCCCAAATGCAGTTATAGTCTTTCTATTTTTAAAAGACAACTCGTAAACGTCTGCAAGCTACAGTGATCGAGTCCCATCGTCACGAGCTCAGCTTTTTCCACTCTCTTTTCCCGTATGAATTCTATTTAAACTCTACTTAACTCCTTGAGACACAGGATCTCGGATAATAAAATAGACCCAATTTTTTGTTTAAAATAGTTTATCGCGAGTTGTTTTCATTATTTAAATATTTTTATCTAAATATACTGATGCGTTAACTGTTGAAAAAAACGTGGAAGATATTGGTGTCCATTTCTATCCATGCAAATGCCTTGTATTTCATAAAAGGAAGAGAAGACGATATAAACGTTTAGCTTCTTTACTCTTACAAACCCATCTGTTCTACTTAGAAGTACAGTGCTTCGCAAAGAAGTAAAATAAAAGAAGCGAAACTTTGGACATTCTTCATTTGTTGTATCTAAAAAGCCAGTGTCTAATAAAATTAAGGAAAACATAAGATAATAGTTCGAATTTGAAGTTAGCTTCTAATATTCTTTCCGATATTCTAAATATACTAACGTGTTAACTGTTAAAAAACGTAGAAGATATCGGTGTCCATTTCTATCCACACTAATGTCCCTAGTTAGCAATCTTATGTCTCAAAAAATGATTTCCAGTTACATTCGCAGCAACCATAATCACACGTTACGATGTCCCGCCTGGGAAAAGAAAATTATTATATTCACCGTTATTCGGGTTGATTAAGTATTCTTCAAAAAGTTTGTCCGATACTGTACTCGATTTCAGAATTTTAATACATATTTACTCTTACAAACCCATCTGTTCTACTTAGAAGTACAGTGCTTCGCAAAGAAGTAAAATAAAAGAAGCGAAACTTTGGACATTCTTCATTTGTTGTATCTAAAAAGCCAGTGTCTAATAAAATTAAGGAAAACATAAGATAATAGTTCGAATTTGAAGGTAGCTTCTAATATTCTTTCCAATATTCTAAATATACTAACGTATTAACTGTTAAAAATCGTAGAAGATATTGGTGTCCATTTATATCCACATGTGGCTCACTTGCTCACCGTTTGAATTAAATGATTGTTTATGTTTAAATGTTTTGTTTCGCACTTTTTGGCTTTCACAATGTTTTATCTCTTTGCGCGGCGCAGGATTTCGGATAATAAAACAGACCCATGTTGCACTGAAATTTTATTGCGTTTTAAATGAAACAAAATTGGTATATTTTTACCAATAAAGGAATCGCATGATGTAAAAATATAAAAACAGGGAAAAAAGATTGTCGCGATAAACCTTCCGCTTGCAACAATCGATGAACCTGTACTAGCATGGTGAATGTTGCCAACACGAGCGAATACATTTATAACATTTGTCGAAGGTATTACCGACTGCTTTACGTAAATAAGACGAAATATAAACCTATGCGCGTGCAGCTATTGCAATATTTCGAGGTGGGACTAGAAATGTACCACTGTGCGTTACGCTGCATCAAAAAGGTGGGACACTTTTAATCCCAGTGTGCTCCAAATAGTTAAGAAAAATTCCGGGCAAAGCACGAAATGTAAGACGATTTTGCAAAGTGTGATACGAAAAATGTTCGAATATTCAGCTAGGGAGAATAAGTGCAAAGAATTTTACTAGAAAAGTGATGACATATCGTGCCGACTGTATTGGATAGGTGACTGTATCACCTTTCCTTTGCTTAGAGTGCTTCAACGTGATTCCTAGAAAATGGGTGGGTATTTATATAATATAGTATAATACGATGTAATATGGATGAATATTTATGTATATCTCTTAATAAATATACCTATACGTTAAATTACATTTTTATTGGATAACTAAGACAATATATGTCTAATTCCTAATTATCTATCAAGTAGAACTTTTATTGATACAAACTACACTATCTGGACGCTGCTAATAATCCCATAATGGGTTGAATTGCGTAAATAAAAAAAAAAGATAATACAGGGTGTCCCAGAAAGATGTATACACACTTTGCGTGATTATAAATAAATTATATTTATATTATAATAAATTAATATAAATTAGAAATAATGAGGTATTAAAGTGTGTATACGTTTTTTTGGGACACCCTGTATATACTGTTGTTATATAATTGTCTTTTTATATAGTTGAAGAATTTGAGATGAAAAATATATGTCGTCATTTAGAGAACAGAAAACGATTTCATAAAAGTTTCTTTTGCGTTAATAAATTCTTCGTTAGGTACTAATGATCATTTATTTTGTCGAGTAACTTGCATATTCCCGATTCATCGATCGAGCAATCGATAAATTATACAGCATTTACGTAATTTGCGTATAATGTAATGTGTCCTAACATGGTAAATATAATTATATGTTCGATATAATATTATTTCATAATATAATATACAACGTATGCCATAATGTGCATATGTACATATATGTTGTATACTATATTATATGTTATTGTACATGTATAATATTTAACATACTCCGAGGAGAAGTTATTTTTCAGAAAGGAAACTAAGTAAAGTTAAAAGTTTAAAAAATTATAGTAACTTTGGATTAAAGTTAAACGATGTCTGCTTCGATATTCCTCGCGAACGAATAAACGTCGTTAATTTCCAATAGATCAATTATCGCGCGTTACTTTCAGTACGTCATCTTGTCAAATCAGTGTAAGTACCATTTTAACGAGAAATAAGTATTTCCAGATAAATGGAAGTTTTTCAGCGAGAAATAGCAGATAAATGGGAATTTTTCAGCGAGAAATAGATAAATGGGAATTTTTCAATGAGGAATAGCATATAAATGGGAACTCTTGAATGGAAACTTACCATTTGTTGAGCGTTCTTGGGCCTTCTATTTACGTCGATCACCTTCTGGTTGGCTGCAACGAGAAACACGGGATAATTAATGCAAAGATATCCTTTTGCTAGCTAACGGACAGCAAATCGTGAATTTATTGAGGCACATCGCATATGGCGTGCGCGTATGGCACGTGACCACGTTACCCCGCGAACTAACGACTTTACTGACGATTTATGTGTTATGGGTAACTGTCCAATGCCATAAACGATTCGGCCATTGAGTACTGTTACTTGCCACTTTATTATTCGCACCTATTTCATTCACTTTGAAACGTACGGTTATCGGAGTGATAATGAGGCGGGTTTGATATTCGTTTGTACAGACACTCTCAGAAGCTATGACTGTAGCTGTGTAAGTGAATAGTAGGAAGCAATCTTAGAATAGAATAGTATTTGGCCTTTGATACGTTTAAACATTTGGAATCCTAGGTAACACGAATTTTAGTTATATTTATATCGTATTTGCATTGTTCGTTTGTACAGAAACTCTCATAAGCTCCGAATGTAGCGATGTAAGTGAATAGTAGAAAGCAATTTTGGAATAGAATTATACAGAAATAGAGTATTTGGTCTCTGATACGTGTGAAAAGTTGGAATCCTAGGTAACACGAATTTTAGTTATTTTTATATCGTATATGCATTGTTCGTTTGTACGGACACTCTCAGAAGCTCCGAATGTAGAGATGTAAGTGAATAATAGGAAGCAATCTTAGAATAGAATAGTATTTGGCCTTTGATACGTTTAAACATTTGGAATCCTAGGTAACACGAATTTTAGTTATATTTATATCGTATTTGCATTGTTCGTTTATTAGCCGAATTCTGGGTAGATATGAAAATCTCGTAACAATATTGTAAGACAAGTTAGGCTGAATATATGAATATATATCAATATATGAATAACGACGATGTCATTATTTGTTTATTAATAAACTGTTAAAGAATTGTCCAAAGTCTTTAAACTTCCAGAACTTTCCTATAGTCTTCTCACAATATATAGTATGTGTATTGTTCGTTTGTACAGCCACTCTCAGAAGCTCTGAATGTTGCAGTATAAGTGAATATTGGAAAGCAATCTTGGAATAGAGTAGTTTTTGGTCTTTGATACGTTTAAAAATTTGGAATCTTAGGTAATGCGAATTTTGGTTATTTAAATATTGTATAAGTATTGTTAGTTTTAATTGAAATTGGCAAAATTTGAATGGAGGTTTACTTACTGACAGCCTCCACCAGATCAGCGAGAAGAACTCCGTCGCAAAGGTCCAACTGAAGGTCTGTCACCCTTCTCTTGCAGCCACCCCTCTCCAAGTAATAGTTCGCCCAATCAGTATAGATCTGCACAGAAATATCGAAAATGTTATATATCAATTTAATTTGTTTTTAATTTTGAGTTCGAGTTCCATTGTTGAAAGATTAATTTTGGAAATTTACACTAGAACTACCAATCTTTAATGGACATGTGAACATAGGGGGAATAGATAATAGTAATCTGGGTGGTATAATCTGGGAAGGTAATAAAATATATTAATTACAGTTTTATGTCAATATTAGTCAACACTAATTTTTTTAAAACTAGGTACATGTTTATAGTAATTGAAAAATTTTGGATCCAGTCATTTGACTAGATTGGTAATTCTAGTGTTAATTAATTTATATTAATCATGGTGTTTATTGTATTTGTATGATATTTAATGAAATATTATAATAAATAATTCATATTATTGGTAATAGATATATACAAGTACATTTATATCTACTAATAAACTTTAGTAGATATAAAGTAGATATTAAGGTATACCTAATTCAAAAGTATCTATATAAAATAATACGCCATAATTTGTAAACCGCCATTTTTAAAATACCGAGTTATTGGTAAATAAATATTAATTATAAAAATATTCGAATTAATACTATTTTCATTTTGCAAGTTAATTTATTTTAATGATGGCACCTTCTTATACTTGTATAATATTTCACAAAGTATTGCAATTTATTATTGTTGATAATAAGATATCTTTAAATACGTTATGTCTGTTAACATACTGTTAAAGTAGATATTAAAATGTATTTAACTATACAAAGTTTATTTCAATCATTTTATTATTAATTATGCTGATGTTTCATAATGAATGCTAATAAATTACTACTGATAGTAGTTATAAAAGGATTGCGAATACTGGAAATGTAAAAAATTAGATAATTACAGATAAATTATTTCCAAACTTAATACTATTGTATGTATTTATAATAAAAAAATTGAAAATTTATAGAAAAATTGAACAATTAATTAATTTATCTAAATTAAAGATTTATTATCCCTACATGTACTATATACAATCACAAAAAGAATCAAGAATGTATTCGAACGATTAAAAAATTACATAACCTATAAAATTTGATAAAATGTTACAAGGTGTAAAGTTGACTTAAAATCTTTTAGCATATTTCTTAAAAGAATATTAAAGGATAAAAAATATAACAGTCACTTTGAACAAAAATTTAATATCATTAACTGTTCTAAAAAATAGAAAAAAAATGAAAGAATTAACATGAAATTTACTACCACATGAAATTAAAGCTAATCTAATTTTTACAAGATAATCTTATATAGAATATCGTGAAGAATACAGTTAGTTTATATAAATTATATAATGTATAAAATATATTAGAGTATTGTATTCTGATTATTGTTATAATATTAATTCTCATGAAAAAAGAAGAAGATTTAATATTTACTATCAGACGAAATTAAACCTAACCTAATTTTTACGAGACAATATTATACAAAATTACACGAAGAATCCGGTTTACCTATATAAATTATACATTTCCCTGAATTATTATCAGTATTCTATTTTGACCATTGTTATAATATTAATTCTCATCAAAAAAAGCAGAACAAGATTTAATATTTATTACCAGACGAAATTAAACCTAACCTAATTTTTACGAGACAATATTATACAAAATTTCATGAAGAATCTGGTTTACCTATATAAATTATAAATTTCCCTCAATTATTATCAGTATTCTATTCTGACCATTGCTATAATATTAATTTTCGACAAAAGAGAAAAATAAAATTTCACATTTACTATAAGACGAAATTAAACCTAACCTAATTTTTACGAGACAATATTATACAAAATTTCATGAAGAATCCGGTTTACCTATATAAATTATAAATTTCCCTTAATTATTATCAATATTCTATTCTGACCATTGCTATAATATTAATTTTCGACAAAAGAGAAAAATAAGATTTAACATTTACTACCACACGAAATTAAACCTAACCTAACTTTTATAAGGTAATCTTACATAGAATTTCACGAAGAATCCGGTTTACCTATATAAATGATACACTCCTCTTGATGATTATCATCGATATTCTATCCTGGTAACTGTTATAATATTAATTCTCGACGTATAGAAACACGTACGTCATAAAGTAATGGATTCGATCTGCGACGTTCTAAATCAAATTCGCAGCACCGTGACAGGTATCCGAAGTCCAAATTGGACGTCTGACCGCAAGATGTCCATAGATTTTCGTCATTGGTGACCACAAAAAGAGCACGACGTTTTCATTTGCATTTTAATCACGTACTCGCGCGTCAGCCAATACCGAAACGTTATATCTTGCCTATTGCAACCATGTAGGCACACTTGCGTTTATTAACTGCGCTGCACGCAAGGCCTAGATGGCTCTGTGTTCGCAAGCTGCGCATAGTTTTGCCGCTCTATAGAGCGATACTTTATGACCAACCACTCGTTCGAGCAGCAGGTGCGTTGTCTATATCAGAAACGTTAGGACTAAATCGACGGCTAAACCAACAAATAAATTTATGCATTTAACGACAATCGATCTGGATGGATTTTACGGAATCGGATAATTAATTACATTATTAGCAATACTGAGCTGCGTAATAAAATTATTGTAACCGATGGATATGGAAATGATTTAGTATGTATTGAAATAAGTAAGTATCGATTATATGGGAAAACGTACTATGGTATTAAAATAATTACCGTATAATATTGCATCGTGTATAATTATGTTTGATTCATTCGTAACCATAGTAAACGATTTATTTATTGAAGATTTCATTTTTGCGCTTTACTAGTTTTACAGTTATTATTAACAACGATTATTATTAACACGATTGATGTGTACGATGAAATTATCGTGAGCGATGAATATGGAAATGATTTAGTGAGTATTGAAATAAGCAAGTACCGATTATATGGGAACACGTACTGTGGTATTAAAATAATTGCTATATGATATTGTACCGTGTATAATTACGTGTAATCGTTTTATTTACTTAAGATTTTATTTTTGCATTTTAGCAGTTTTATGGTTGTCAGCATGACTCGAGTTATTATACGTTATTGAGTCTAATATGTATCGTGATAAAAGAAAATAATTGTCGAAATAAATAAATATATTTTGAGATCTCGGTTTACATATACAGGTAGTACCATTTTTTTGAGTAATTTGTACTATCTTTTTCAAAAAATTCTTTGTAAATAATACATTTCTTATTTTTATTATAATTAAATATATTAGAAGTAATAAATTATAAATTCAAAATAATTTATGAAAGATATTTATAGTCAACGATTTTTATTATTTAACTTTTTTAATTTAAATAATGTTCACTAATCAATTTTTTAAAATTTATACATCGCTGTATGACTTCGGTTTCTTACTTAGTAATAATTTCAAATATACATATTTATCATATAATAATTATCTCTATGAATGAAAATAAAATCAAATAATATATTACAGGTTACCAATGTCGCCACAGTGGCGCTAGTGAAGTGTAAATAATTCAAATTAAACCGTTTTCAACCGTTCATATACGCGACACATGGAAATATTAAATCATCAAAGCTAATATCATCAAATCATTAATAGTAAACCTACTATGATGAAGGAAGACTAAGAAATAAAATAAGGAAAACTTTAAAGAAAAGGAATACGAGAAAATATTGAAAAATTGCTTGCACCCCCATTAAAAGAAAAATTGTAAAGACAAGTGACCAAAGTGATAAGCTTGAATGCGAAATTTTTAATTAAAAATTTAAAAAACCACCATTTTTGTTAGATTAAGTGTTAAAAAATAAAATAAACTATACAAAACAATATATGTGAACAAATAATACCATTCCAAACAAAATCCTCTGTCCAAAGATGTCCCCTAAATTATTAATATCACTAAATTATTTTAAAAAACAATTTCATTAACAAGTATATCACTAAATATAACAAATCATACCATTTTTATATGAGCATATCTGTTATATTATAGATCAATTTTGATAATGAGTAACATCATGAATTCATTAAAATTAAAAAGAAAATAAACTATATAAAACAACATATTAACAAGCATTGTCCAAAGACGTCTCTCAAACTGTTAATATCACAAAATTAGTTTAAAAAACAATTTGGAACAACATATTAACTACTATACCACTATATAAAATGAACAATACCATTTTCTATAAGACCATATCTGTAATGTATCAAGCGAGTAATACGACATTAAGAACAATGTAAATATAATAAATTGGGAGTTACTATATTATAGTACACTACTATTGAACTATATCAATGATCTATTTATTATATTGCCTCGGGACAGAATATCGTGAATAATGCCTTGTTCTGAGGCAATGTAATAAATAAAAGACGTCCCTCAAACTGTTAATATCAACAAATTATTTACAAAAACAATTTAAATTGGGAGTTACTATATTATAGTACAGTACTATTTAACTATATTAATAATCTATTTATTACATTGCCTCGGGACAGGGCATCGTGCATAATGTTTTGGCTTGAAGTAATGTAATAAATAAAAGACGTCCGTAAAATTGTTAATATCACAAAATTATTTTAAAAAACAATTTGAAACAACTCATTAATTACTATACCACTATATATAACGAACAAAATCATTTTCCACAAGACCACGTCTGTAATGTACGAAGCAAGTAATACGACATTAAGAACAATGTAAATGTAATAAATTGGGAGTTACTATATTATAGTACACTACTATTGAACTATATCAATAATCTATTTATTACATTGCCTCAGAACAGAGCATTATGCACGATATTCTGTTCTGAGGCAATGTAATAAATAGATTATTGATATAGTCCAATAGTAGTATACTATAATATAGTAAGTCTCAATTTATTACACTTATATTGTTCTTAATGTCGTATTACTCGCTTGGTACATTTCAGACGTGGTCTTATCGAAAATAGTATTGTTTAAATTGTAACAAATTGAGACTTACTATATTATAGTACACTACTATATCAATAAGTTATTTATCACATTGCCTTGGGATAGAATATCGTGCATAATGCCCTGTCCTGAGGCAATGTAATAAATAGATTATTGATACAGTTCAATAGTAGTATACTATAATATAGTAAGTCTCAATTTATTACACTTATATTGTTCTTAATGTCGTATTACTCGCTTGGTACATTTCAGACGTGGTCTTATCGAAAATAGTATTGTTTAAATTGTAACAAATTGAGACTTACTATATTATAGTACACTACTATATCAATAAGTTATTTATCACATTGCCTCGGGATAGAATATCGTGCATAATGCCTGTACCAATCACAATCCATAACAGATCTACTATTTGGTACGAAGGCAACACGAACCAAGGACCCCAGCGAGGATAAGAAAAATAGCATAAACAGACAATGGAAGGACGAAAGATAAAAAAGTTCACGCGATATTCCCTGTCCAATTAGCCCAAGTGATCCAGCGCGGCGCGGAGGTTATATTTCCCCATTTCCAATTATATCCATCTATTATTTCGCTATTACCTTAACGAAGGGCACACGTTGAAAAAGCACGAAACAGTCAATTAAGACTTCCTTCGACCGACACGTACGCCGCCGAGAAGCCTTCCTAATCACCTCGAGCGACCGGAAGGCGCGGTGCACACCGCTCATTCCTTCGCCGAGAACGAAAGCTCCTCAGCGTCGCGTCGCGGCGTATAAAGAGAGAGCCGGTCCCGCGGCGCGGAGCTTCTTTCCCTGGGCAAAAAGAAGAGGTCGAGTCGCGAAAGGGCGTCAGTTCATCACGGGACAGATCCACGAAGTTTATTGTTTTGGGTGAACGCCAATATTTTTCGCGCGTCAGATCCCGGCAGAGAGTTCGGCCTCTCCGCAGGGAAAGAAGAGACCGCGGCCAGAAGAATAGAACGGCCAGACAAGGAGATAGGTCGAGATGGAGCCTGACGGTGGAAAGGAATTAGTCACCGTGCGTACCGAATCATACGTATGCTCGCACACACGCACCTGGTCCCTGTGCAAACACCCGTCCGTGTCCCCGCACATCTTCGCGCCGAATTCTGTTTTTCTGTTTGCACCTATGAGTTGGTGCACGCATGTGCGCGCATTCGTATTCTACGGAGGCACGCGTATATTTACATACACGATTCATCTAACAGTTCGACCATGTGCACGCTCGTCCCCTGTGTGCGCGTGCGTGTGCGATCCGAGTGTGACTGCTGTGTCTCTCACGCGTGTGCGAGAACCAGTCGAGACACCGGGTACTATTTTTGAGCGAGGCAAAGAGAGAAGCAGGATGAACTTCCTTCATAATTTCGGGTCACCACGCAGATTCTAATTTTCATTATTACACGGACCATGGAGAGAGGCTCCTGTAGCCTCGTCGCTTTCGATCCCAGCTTTTCTGCGATTCTAAGGCTTCGCGGCTCTACGGGGACTGGGTCCTGGGGTACCTGAGGATTCTTGGGGGTGATGGAACTTGACAGACGGACCGAGCACGTGTCTTTCGTGGGTTTCTAGTCGTTTAACTGACGGATTCTTTATGCGTTTGAAGGTTCGCCGAGATTTGGGATGAAACGGTGCTTGATTTTGTTTGACTGTTTTTCACCATCTTGCGATCCTTGGATCGATTTTGATAATACGAAAGTGTAGAATTTAATTATACACAGTACGTTGTATATGACGAATTGGGTATACTGAGGATTGTCTGATGGAAGAATTTCTGAAATGTAGATGGGTATATTCTGAATAATAATTTAATTGTTAAGTTAAATGGACGTTTAACGATAATTTTAATATCTATTATTTTATGTCATTCTTTGTTTATTTTATTGCAAATTAAGAAGAAATTTAATCTCATTAATCATATTTTACAGGGGTTTGATTATCTTAGGATCGTTCGATCGATTGTAATTTCGATTTTTCATCTATTGCAATAATTCAAAATTTAATGGTGAATAAATTGTGTGTTAACAATTATGATTATATGATTCTACAAAGAATAGAAATTTAAACAAAAAAATTTTAAAATTATAGTATACCAAACCCAAAATCTTTGATAAATTGTGGACACTATACAGGGTGTCCAAAGAATAAAGTCCTACAAGCTGTTTCTTAAAAAATGAATTATAAACATCGACCTCAATTTCGTTATAGACAAATGATACAAAGAAACTAACCTAATTTTTCTCATAGCAATTTAGAAAAGAAAAAGACGAGTATTCCAAATTTTTAAAAATGGTACTATTCCTAATTTATTAATAGCAATTTCTAATTTCAAATCATCAAACTGAATAATATTTACTTTAATCATTCTTGTTTATCCTACATAGTTATACTATTTTAAAACAAACATTATTTCTTAATTTCATTTTGTGCTATTTAATATAATGGAAAATGAAAATAACTTTATGTAAAATAAAATTAATATACAACTATGTGACTGCAATAATATATAATAATGAATATAAAATATAATAAAACCATATTGCTATAAATACTGTGATATATGATATATAGCATATAGCGAATAATATAGTATAGTATATAGTAGAATAGTGTAGTATATAGTAAATAATATATAGCATATATTAAATCACAAAAAGCGGTACACTTTAATATTAATAATATATAGTTCATAGTAAATAGTACAGTATAGTTTAGTTTATAATAGTGTAGTAGAGCAGATAGTAGTACAGTACAACACGTAGCAATATAGTATAGTATATAGTGGTATAGTATAATATATAGGAGCATAGTATAGTATATAGTAGTATAGTATAGTATATAGTGGTATGGTATAGTATATAGTAGTATAGTACAGCATATAGCGGTATAGTATAGTATATAGTAGTATGGTATGGTATATAGTGGTATGGTATAGTATATAGTAGTATGGTATGGTATATAGTGGTATAGTATAGTATATAGTAGTATGGTATGTATATAGTAGTATAGTATATAGTAGTATGGTATGGTATATAGTAGTATAGTATATAGTAGTATGGTATGGTATATAGTAGTATAGTATATAGTAGTATGGTATGGTATATAGTAGTATAGTATATCATATAGTAAATAATATATAGTATATAGTAAATAAAAAAAAGACACTTTACAGCTATATATAAAAAAGGAAGGTGATCACCTCGATTTTAAAAATGAAAAAGAATTTCAATATGAAAGCACATGATCGATGCTCACGGTCTCGCGTATAAAATAAATTTCCGCTCTTTGGTCAGCGAATTTAAGCGACCTGACAAACGAGCGACTAAACTAATAAAAGCATGAAGATCAATTCCCATAGCTCGCGTTCCAAGGGCAAATACAATGGAAACCGGAGACTCGTTTTACGAATTCGTAGTTCACCGGAGTCGACACGGCCGTACGTGTGCTCTAACAAAGGCATGTACCTGTATGACATTGCGGGTGGAATCAGCCTTGATGTCGTCGCTGGATCCACAGACGGATCTTGGTGCTCTAATACACGCCATGACGTCGATGCCGAGAGTCGTTAACGTCATCCAAATCGCATTAATTCACGCACTATACCGGGACTTTACCATGGAATCGCTAATTATCGCTTCCAATTAAGCGACGAGCATCGCTGCGACGTAACCTCATGGAGACCACCAGTCGTAATTACACTTAGCATTCGTCATCCGTGTCCCGTGGATCGCGATACGATTTCCTGTCGATTAACGGGATATTTGTAACGATTTACCGGCGCGATGATTAATTTCCACCAATTTCATCGCGAAACGCGAAGCGGACGAAATCATTAGCACACCGGGTTAAACAGATAATTCATGCTGATTGAACTCCGATGCAGCTTCGTTTGTACTGCACGAACACCACCACTGTCCTGCTCGCCACCTTGCTCGTACTGCACACGCGATATCGAGTCCAATTATGTCCCTGACAATTGTTCCAGGTGAATTTTTAAACAACAACCATCGAAAGTCCACGAGACAGGCCTAGCTAGATCGCGGTCCCTCTGCGATCGATCGACATTGTTCCTCTGTCTATTCATGGAACGATCTTGTTATCCTCGATGCACGTGCTCTCGCGAGGCGTGTCGTCACGTTCCTTTTCACTCCGTGTACTCAGAAGCACACCGCCGGTGCATCAGACGTGCAACAAGCAACGTGTAACCACGCGAGCGATATTCAAGTTCAAAGCTCTGTTGACATTCTAGGCTGCGCACTCGTATTCTTCTTTCCTTGGGGAAAGCGAAAGGAGTACGATCCAGGGTAGGGTCTCACCTAACGCTTCATTCTCTGTGCGAATTTTTACCTCTGCATAAAAATTCGACGAGCCAAACCCACGATAGGATCCTCAGGAGCTGGAAGGATCCGGACAGAGGCTGAGCTATCTTCTATCGCAGAGAAGCTCCTGGTCGTTGGATTATCCGGTCTAAATACTTGGTCCGTTTCTTAGTTGTTTCCTGAACGCTTCGGAACTCCTTGGAGGAAGCACTCGTGAACTACTCGCGAGTGATGAAAAGTGAGACGCAGCGGAATTTAATGAAATAGCACTTGGCGAAGCGATCGCTCGGGGTGTATCGATGGATTCTCGTTTCTTCGGTGAAGTCGGGGAATCCGGGGCGAAAGCTGAATGAAAGTCGATCGATGATCCTCCTCGAGCTGTGCGACCGAGTCGCGCATCGTTTTAAGAGCGGAGAAGAAAGACTCTCCAACTTAGCCCATTCCGTATCATCCAATTATTCAATTTCGCCGCCGACCGTCGCCACCCCGTGTAAACAGACACCGTAATACACTTGCGCCTTTTTTCCCGCTATATTATTATCCAATCGCCCCCAAAAATTACCGGGGAAGCCTAGCGGAGGAGCACTCGTAATAGGATACGGTGTCTTATGCAACGTCGCCTTCTTCTTCCGTTCTGATACGTCTCACGATTGGTCTATTCGTGTCCTTTTGAGTAATATTAATATGGATCACTTTGGAAATGAACAAAGGAAGCTCAGACATAGGATAATTTACTGCTGGTCTAGTTTGATACGGCGTCTTACGCAATATCGTCTCTTCTTCCGTTCTGATACGTCTCACGATTGGTCTATGCGTGTCCTTTTGAGTAATATTAATATGAGATCACTTTGGAAATGAACGAAGGAAGCCTAATGATAGTATAATCTACTGCTGGTCTAGTTTGATACGGTATCTTATGCAATATTGTCTGTTCTTCCGTTCTGATACGTCTCACGATTGGTCTATTCGTGTCCTTTTGAGTAATATTAATATGGAATCACTTCAGAAATGAACGAAGGAAGCCCAGAGATAGAGTAGTCTAATAATCTACTACTGGTCTAGTTTGATACCGTGTTTCAGGCAACGTTGTCTTCTTCTTCCGTTCTGATACGTCTCACGATTGGTCTTTTGAGTAAAATTGTCCTTTTGAGTAATATTAATATGGAATCACTTCAGAAATTAACGAAGGAAGCACAGAGATAGGGTAGTCTAATAATCTACTACTGGTCTAGTTTGATACCGTGTCTGATGCAATATTGTCTCTTTTTCCGTTTTGATACGTCTCACGATTGGTCTTTTGAGTAATATTGTCCTTTTGAGTAATATTAATATGGTATCACTTTAGAAACGAAGGAAGGAAGCCCAGAAATAGGATAATCTACTACTCTAGTTAGACACCGTGCTGTGTTCTGATCTTGCTGATAATTGATCTACTAATAACTGATCTTCTCTGCTAAATCGTTATCCAGTCACTTTAGAAAGTGTCTGAACAACAGTAGTGTAATTTGACCTAGGGTTACCTTCTTTTCCTGTTCCAATCTTAATTATTGATCCACTTGTACTGTTCTTATTGGTACTTATTATTTAATCATCTCAGAAATTAATGAAGGAAGCTCAATGAGGTAATAGTCATAATCACATCCACTGTTCATTCAGTCTGACTTGTAGTCACCTCCTTTCCTCGTTCCAAACGCTGATTATTAATCTACTTGTGTCTTCTTCGATGCTGGGTTATTGCCTGCTCACTCTGGAGACTAGCAGAACAATAGCTGTAATGTAATTCGCTGTTCGTCCAGTGTGACTCAGCGACTCCTTTCCCTATTCCAAATTCTAATTATCAGTCCACTTGTGTCTTTTTATCCAGTCAGTCATGGGCAAGTGCAATGCTCGTCAAGTATGACTCAGTATTATCTCCTGTTCCTGCTCTGGATACTAATTGTTAGTCCACTTAAGCCTCCTCCACTGTTCAATTTTTATCATAATCAACTGTTCATGCACCTTGATTCAATGATAACTTCTTTTTCTAGTTTAGGTGCTAATTATCAATCCACTTAAGTATTTCTCACTGTTAAGTTCTTAATTAATCGCACTAGGAATCAAAAGAACAATAGTCAGGATTAGACAGAATGTTCATTCAACTTAATCTAATATTAACTCTCTGTCTTGTTCAACTACTAATTATTAGTCCACTTAAGTCTTTTTCACCGTTAAATTGGCACTCAATCACTCTAAGAACAATCTGAGCAACAATCATATAATTCAATCGGTCAAAATTCAATCAAGTCCAATAACATCTCGTTCTCCTATTCCACGTGCTAATTATTGCTCCACTTAATTCCTTTTTACTGCCAAGTTATTACCCAACCAGACCGTAAACAAAGCGAGTCACAGTCATAATCCGATCCACTGTTCGTCCAGCCTGATCCAATAATAAATTCTTCCTCTATTCCAAATATTATTTATCAATCCACTTAAGTCTTTCTCGCTCTTAAGTTATCGTACAACTACTCAAGAAACAAATTGGCTAAGTCACCATGCAACCTGATCCAAGAACTTCTTCTCCCTCTATTCCAAATATTAATTATCAATACACTTAAGTCCTTCTCACTCTTAAGTTATTATCCAAACATTCGAGAAACAAATTGGCAAAGTCACATTCCAAATAATAATTATCAATGCACTTAACTAATTATCCTCTTCACTCTTAAGTTATTATTCTGGTCAAGTGACCATTCAACCTGATCAAATGACACCTTTTTTCTTTAATCCAAATATTAATTATCAATGCACTTAGGTCTTTTTCACTCTTAAGTTATTGTCTAACCACTCAAATAGGAAATTGGTCAAGGCACTATCCAACCTGATCCAATAACACCTACTTTCTTTATTCCAAATATTAATTATCAATGCACTTAGGTCTTTTTCACTGTTAAGTTATTGTCCAATCATTCAAAAAGCAAGTTGGCCAAGATACCATCCTTTTTCACTGTTAAGTTATTGTCCAACCATTCAAAAAGCAAATTGGCAAAGGCACTATCCAATCAGATCCAATAATACCTACTACTTCTGTCCCAAATATTAATTATTAACGCACTTAGGTCTTTTTCACTGTTAAGTTATTGTCCAACCACTCAAGAAACAAATTGGCCAAGGCACCATTCAACCTGATCCAACAACACCTACTACTTCTATCCCAAATATTAACTATCAACACACTTAGGTCTTTTTCATCCTTAAGTTACTATTCAACCACGCAAAAGCAAAATTGGACAAGTGACCATTCAACCTGATCCAATAACACCTACTTCCTTTATCCCAAATATTAATTATCAACGTCACTTAGGTCTTTTTCACTGTTAAGTCATTGTCCAACCACTCAAGAAACAAATTGGCAAAGGCACCATTCAACCTGATCCAATAACATCTACTTCCTCAATCCCAAATATTAATTATCAACGTCACTTAGGTCTCTTTCACTGTTAACTCATTGTCCACCTACTAAACAAACAAACTGGCCAAGTGTCCATTCAATCTGATTCAATAACACCTTCCTCTATTTCATATACTAATTATCAACGCACTTAGGTCTTTTTCACTGTTAAGTCATTGTCCAACCACTAAAGAAACAGCCTTCCTCTATTTCATATACTAATTATCAACGCACTTAGGTTTTTTTCACTGTTAAGTCATTGTCCAACCACTAAAGAACTGGCCAAGTGACCATCTAACCTGACCCAATAACACCTACTTCCTCAATCCCAAATATTAATTATCAACGTCACTTAGGTCTCTTTCACTGTTAACTCATTGTCAACCTACTAAACAAACAAACTGGCCAAGTGTCCATTCAATCTGATTCAATAACACCTTCCTCTATTTCATATACTAATTATCAACGCACTTAGGTCTTTTTCACTGTTAAGTCATTGTCCAACCACTAAAGAAACAAACTATCCAAGTGACCATCTAACCTGACCCAATAACACCTACTTCCTCAATCCCAAATATTAATTATCAACGTCACTTAGGTCTTTTTCACTGTTAAGTCATTGTCCAACCACTAAAGAAACAAACTGACCAAGTGTCCATCCAACCTGATTCAATAACACCTTCCTCTATTCCACGTACTAATTATCAACGCACTTAAGTCTTTCCCACTGTTAAGTTAGCGTGCGAGCACTCAGGAACCAAATTGAGCAACAGTCACAATGCAATCTTTCCCAATT